CATACTACTCATTTCTTATGTATTTACATATCTAAATCACATGACATTACCCAATTCTTATGTATTTACATAACTAACACTTTAATTTTTTTTTTTTTTTTTTGCATTTATACAAACCAAATTTTTTATATAATAGCAAAGACACCAAATCTCTGTTCCTATTCAGCTTGTTATAAATCTAACACAAAAAATTTGTTTGTGTTCAACTCATTTGCTTATCGAACGAATCGAACACGAGCTATTTAGAAAACCAAACATGAGTTGTTCACGAATAACAATTTTTTTTTTTTGACAACACTATTTAGTTGGTTGTCTCCATCATTATGCTCGCTCCGTCAATCAAGCTAGCTCAACATCTCCCGCTTGTTCTCGCTCCCTCCGATTCTCTCTATCTAGCTCTTGCTCTGTTATTGCTCTGTTATCTCTACAACCCAAATCAACATGTGCTTTCTCTAGAGCCCCCTTCATATTCTTTGTATCCCTATCATTTGATTTGTGTTTTCAATAAAGTTATACTCAGGAAAGTGTGATTCCACAACACAAATACAATGATTCTAAGAGCTTTTACATATATATATATATATATAAGCCCAAAAATTCCTAAATCAATCATTATAAAGCATAAGTAATAACTTTCCCAAAATCATCTGAGCTATTAATTATATTGAGCATGTTCAAGAGAAATAATTTTGATTCATGCTTTGCTAGTAGCATGCATATTAATGTTTTAAATATAATTACTGGTCTATGCTACAATATTTGAGATTTGTATCTTCTAAATGTCTAACATTATCATTAACTTATCTAAAGTTAAATATATAATTTCATGCATATGTTCTAATGTGTTTTAAAGACTAGAACATTATGAAAACAAATATAAATTTTTTTATATTAGATAAATAATAAATATATGAAATTTTATGGTATACTATAAGTCCCCTTATTTAATTATGTTCTTATATTATGATCACTAAATATGGACAATAAATAAAAATAATAAACAAAATATACTTAGTAATCATGATATGTTATAACTATAAATTTCTTACTTTAAATATTATACAACTATAATAATATGTATATGTACTTGAATAACTTCAATACTGCATTTATGTAATAAATACAATGATATAAATTTAATTCGAAAATAACAATTTATAAATAAATAACTTATATTTACCATAAAATAAATTAAAATTTTTCTGAGCCCAATGGTATGTATGTATGCTCTCCCTTATATAAGCTCTCCGGCCACCAAAGAGCGGAGGTTCTACCTCTGCTCCTTCGCCTACACTCTATTGTTCTATCTCTTTCTCTGGAATCCTCAAAAGCTCAGACACAATGGATGCATCTCCCCCAGGAACCAGTAAACGGCCCGCGGAGTCTGCCGAGGAGGAAGAAGAAGAGCTCCAGCCGGACGCTAAGAAGCAGAAGAGATGCTTCGCGGAGTTCGAGCCCCGAAGGTCTCTCCTATATCTTTTCCGCCTCTCGTTTCATTGCTTGATCGTTTTTGTTCTCTTTTTGTCGCAGCTATCAGCTTACGGTGTTTGAAGTGGCAATGCGGAGGAACACCATCGCAGTTCTAGACACCGGCGCTGGGAAGACTATGATTGCGGTGATGATGATTAAGGAAATTGGGAAGGAACTTAGGATGAAGGAGGACAGGGGTCTCATTGTCTTCCTTGCTCCTACCGTTCATCTTGTCACCCAGGTTTTTGTTCTTTGAGATGTAAAGTGATTTTGATACATTTCTGATGAAATTGGTTGTTTTTTTTTATAGGGTTTTAGGGGAATTTGTTCTTGATTTAGTTCTATTCTGATTGCTTTCTGTGGGGTTAGCAATATGAGGTGATCAAAGTTCACACTGATCTTAAAGTTGCTGACTACTATGGTGAGAAGCGGATTGATCAGTGGGATGAGAAGAATTGGGAGAAGGAGACATCAACTTACCAAGTAAGTTCGGCTCCTTTTCTGTCATAAGAAGCATTTAGCTGTATGATCGGGTGCTTGTGTTGATTTAATTTATTTACTGTCTTTAACGAATTAAATTTCTTATGTTATTGACTTTGTCTACAGCGTTTCTTTATCTCTCCAGTGGGCGAGTAGCCGTGTTCTTTTCTGATGACATGGAATCTTGTTCTATGTTTTAGAGCGCATTTATAAATTTGATTTATTTTTTCATTTTGATGATTCATGAATATCTTTTTTATTTTCTTATCGATTTTGGCTTTGGGGTTGTTTGGTTGGATGCAAATCAAATGCATTCAAGTATTATATTTTGCTTGTTAGATTACATTTCTCATATAGTACAAGGTCTCTCTTCTCTCCCTCTATCTCTCTGTCATGCTCTCTATCTCATCCAATAGACGGGCTTGTGTTGGTTCGTGAAAGATGGGAGTGGGCTTGGGAAAGGTCATTGGTGAATGAAGGGCTTGGGGAGGAAGGTATTGGGAAGAGGAGAGTGGTGTGTGACGTGGAAAGCTTGGGGGTGTTGATGATTGAGAAAAGGATGAGCAAGCAGTTTGTTGGAAAGGGGGAAGTTGGTGTGATGTGGAGGGACTCACGGAGGTTGAGGGCAACTAGATTGGTTTGGTGTGGTTGAAGACAATCAAGGAGGTAGAGTGGAGGTCGTTGATGAGGATAGGGGTGCTTTCAAGGTCATAGAAAACACGAGCAGCTTAAGGAAGTGTTGATGATGGACATGATGCCGACGATGGAGGGACTTGGAGGAAGATCAGGATTTGAAAATCAATTGATTTGACTAGTTTCCAAATGCAAGGAAAATGTGGTGTTTGGAGTATTTCTAGTACCTCAAAATTTTGGTTTTTATTTGTTTTGAATTAAATTCAAATGTTAAAATACAAGTAAATTTAGCGCAATATGCACTCCTATTGATTTAGACCAAATAACCCCTAGTATGGGGTAAATGGAATTTAAATTTGGATCTTGGTATGCTTTGCATATCACAATTGTAGGGTATGTTGCGAAATATTTTTTTATTCATCATATCATTAGATACATGATGCGAAAAAGCAAGGTTTAGAAAATCGGACCGAATTGACTTTTTTGAATGGTTTGACCATGAATTGGTGGCCAGTTTGGTCCAAATCATATAAAAAACCTTTATGGCTATGAATCGTTCAAAATCAGTCAAACTTGTGGTTCAACCTGTAGACTGGTGAACCGGTTGAACCACGGATTAGTCCCGTGCGACCAATTTTATGCGATCCTGAGTGGCATAAGGGCGCCATATCGCGGCGTAGGAGCGATGCTGCTGCGTAGTCTCATGTTGCAGAGCTTTATGGTTTTCAAATTTTGGCCGATGAGATTCTTAACTATTATTAATTTATTTATTTATATTTATCACTATTACATCATTATTTTATCATATAGATTGTTTATATTTATTATGTCATTCAGTTCAACCCGCGGTTGTACTAACGAGCCTTGAACATTTCATTTTTCTGGTTTGTTGTCGGTTTGGTTTTTGAAACCTTGATAAAAAGTATAATATGATGGAAAAATAGTTATAAAACTTGCAATGCAAATAATTTAACATGATTGCGTCTTGCTTGCATGTTACTTGTTTTTCTTTTTTGGTTGTTGGACAACAAACATTATGAAGAAAGTATTTTTCACATTGAAAATGGTATTTTCTTGCATCCTTTATTCATTTTTGTTTTCAGTCCCACCACCAAAAACTATAGGAGAAGTGAATATGTGCCATCTTGCATAGAAAAATAAGCCTACAGGCTTATGAAACTTAAAGCTTCAAATTGAAACAAATTTCATTGAACTTCTTTCACTCTCCGACAACCCTTAGTTTGGGTGAAGAAGAGTTTTTGTGGATCTTTCATAGGCTTTGATAAGTGTATGATGGTGCCAGCGTAAGGGAAGCTTTGGTTGGGCTATGATGGTCTTTTTTGTGCTCCAAAAAGTTACTGTTAAATATAACAAAACAATTATAGTAAACAATAACTCAATGCATATCCATCCAAATAATAAGTTTGAAATATTTCTTTCAAACAAATTCAATTTTAAGAAAAGAACTTGGACTTTTAGATTAATCATTGGGAATGTAACCTTTGCAATTTCATTATATATATATATATATATATATATATTTTAATACATATATGACTTTTTCAT